GCAGACGTCAGTTATAACGCAGGCAGCCCTGGCTCACACACCCCCTCCAGTGCTTCCTCTAAGCCCCAGCATCTTTCAGCCCCATCCAGAAGTCTCCTTCTGGCCAGATTCTGTGTGTGTCCCTGGCCTCCACCCTCCTTTTCTTATTCCTATCTGTATGGTGTCCTTAGCAGTTCTGTAACAGTCTTCCATTCTCAGGATGTCCAGATCCTCAGCAGTCTTGGCAATGGGATTGACATTGGGATGTGATTTTCTTCAGGTCTCCAGCTCCCTCATCCAGGCAGACACACAGGGTTTATTTGCTGGCTTTCTTGTCACTGAGAGACCATGTCCTTGAATGTAAGTGAAAGGACCTTTGCAGGGCACCTCCAAGGCCAGACCCAAATCTGCTAGGTATCTGGAGCTGCTAGAAAGAACAGGTCTCGGTAGAGATAAAGAGCAGACTGGCCATGTCTTGAGTTCCTTTTTCACCAGAAGAGCTGAAAAATGCAAGGATTTCAAACATTCAGACCTTAGTCAGTTGAAATGTTAAGGCAACATCTGAACAAAACTCAAAACTCCAAGTAAACATCCCCTTTGAATGGCCTTATAGAAACAAAAGGCAGGCATTTGGGATGCTGACTTTGATGTTCCAAAGTAACAAACAGATTATATTGTTAGGGAGTCTTGCTAAAAGGTGGGGGTGGGGTGGGGAAGCATTCTTTTACAAGTTGTGTTTCCCCAGAGGAAAGAAAGTCACAGTCTTACTGGCAAAATAGGAGGCTATTTCAACTGAAAATTTATGGAATTAAATTCCCCAGAGGAAGAAACTCCAGAGATGTTGCCAATAAATGATGTGTAATAGGTGACACACTAAATTTAGCTATTACACATTATTGACGCAAATCGATGCAAAAGTGAGTGCCTGGGAAAGGACAATAAATGATCAGATGAAAATTTTCCTCAAAATATAAGAGCCAAAACCTGTGCTTACTTAATTACCAAAATGACAGCTTCGTTATGAATTCCTAATAGACCCATTAATAAACCTGTTAAGATATGAACCTTTGCATGAGAAGTTGCTCTTCTTCATTGGCAAGTTAGAAAGCATGAAATGAAAAGTGTTTGCTATCAGATTAGGTACTTGGAGAATTTCCTAATCACTTTAGATCTTAACAATTTTTGTCAAATATGTGCAGCGAGTCATGCTGAAATTGTGCATTGTTTTTTCCAAGTCAGTTTCATTCAAGTCTCTAAATAAGAAATGCACACATGGGAGTGGGTGGGAAACAGCTAATCTAAATATTGAAAAGATTTTTAAGGCATCATGTACTTTAAAAACTATATGATTTCATGGGCAATGATGTTGGGTCTACAATAAATGAATTGTTACCAGGGATGTTGTTGCTAACTTAACCATTTTCATTGTGCTGTTACTGCCCCACCAGACATCTGTCCACTTGTGTTGGAGTCATGTGGGCAGAGGTGTATATAAGTCATTATGGTTATAACCTTCTCATAAGCTTCATTTGACTCCCATAGTAGGCCTACCTCTGTGGTTATTAGAGTGATTAAATGAAATAGTGCATATAAAGTCTTAGAGCAGTGCCCAGCACTTAGTGATTGTGAGAAACCTGTGTATTTTCTAATTCTGACTGTGCCAATTGCTGCCTATTTTTAGACTGTCTCTTCTGATGACCATGGCAGATGACTAAATCAATTTTTCTATCAATTCTCCAAATTAAGGGTCAGCTTGTTTGCACTTGTTGTATATTGAAATGACTATCCTTAAGGATATTCTTGCTTTAAGTTCACTTAATTACTCTGAGACAACTATATCTGTTTCTGCACACTAACGAAGCCAATGAATCAGCATCCAGAGATCCTTATTCTGTAAGTCCAATCTTTTTCCTACAAAAAATTATATCCTGGACTCCCAGTACCCATTACTGTTTTTCCCCTCTTGGTAAATGTTATCAGCATCTATCCAGCTGCCCATACCAGAAAGCTGTGAGTCATCCCTACTCTGCCCTTTCACCTTCATCTGACAGCTGATCCATCAAGTACTGTCATTTCTACCTCAAAAAGAACATGTCTTATGTCATCAACCTCCTCACCCAATGCTCTGCATGCTAATCTAAGCCACCATCACCTCTTGCCTTGGCAAATGCAATTTCTTCCTAAGTGTTCTGGTTTGTTTGTTTGTTTTTTCTTTTTCCACTCATACAGTATTCCCATCCATCCTCTACTCAGGAGTCAAGGTTGAATTTTTAAAACAAATAGCAAACTTATAACTCTTCAGTGATTTCCCCATGCTTGCAAGATAAAATCCAAATACCTTATTTTGACCTATGGACTTTGCATGATCTCACCCCAAGGAATGCCTAAAGGAGCCCTCTGCTCCCCCTTCAGCCAATTTCCTTCACAACCCTCATCTTAGTTAATAAGCACATGTTATTTTTGTCCTCACTTGATTAATGGGTCCCCCTCACTGATCTGTAGATTTCAGGAGGGCAGAGATTATGCTGCTTTTCTTCACCACTGGATCACTTTACATAGTTCCTGGGACTTAGCACATGCTCAATAAATACTAGTTGACAAATTAACTCATCCCATACTCTAATTGGCCCCACATATTATTTTTGTTATCAAAGTAACATTTTAAAATGCTAAAATTAGTTAATAGGGAATATCTGTGTGCAAATCTTTAGATTGCTCTTAGAGGTTTGTGGGTGTGTTTCTAGGAACTTCATTTTAAAAGCCTTCTAGAATTGTGCCCCAAAGTCCTTATATACATCAAAATACTATAGATTGGAGAATTCATGTTTTTGCTTTCATATAGATACTGAAATTGAACTACTTTCTTCCATACTATATATTCTTTTAAGATTTCTAGAACAATTCCTCCAACTCATAGCACTCAGGAAATGAGATCTCAAATGAAAACAGCAGTTTCTGTCTCTAAAAGTAAGATGTTATAGCTAAACCTATTAATATACATATTTTAAATGTCTTTTTCAGCTACTGTTAAAATTTTGTAATGGTTTATGTTTACTAGAAAAACATGTCTGGGACATTTATGACTGGTGTAACTTGGAGCCTGCTTGGTAATAGTGGCTGAATTAACACATCAAGCTGCATGTTTTACATTGTGCTATTTATTGAAGAAAAACTGGATAGAAGGAAATGACATTTGAAATTTATTACATTTCTACATTTTATTCTTCATTCTTAAATGTATTTTCCTCTAAAAAGCAAGAACCTTATATTTGGAAATAACATGTTTTGAAAATCCAGCAAGTCTGCAATGTGTGTGGAAATGACTTCGGTGGTCACTAATGAGGCAATACACATTGATGTCTCAGTGCATTCACTGGGGCCAGCCTCTTGCCTGTTCTACAGAAAACTGTCATTTCAAATTTTTGTCCTGACTCCATGGGCACTTTGATTCCCAAACCTTTCTGAGAAACCGAATCTGAAATCACAGTCAAGTTTCTTAGATGTGATCGGACAAGGTCACACTTAAAACAGTTCAGTGAACCTGTAGATCAAAGTTGAAAGGTAACGCCTCCCTTCCAAAATGGGCCCAACTTACCTGCTAGCTTACCTTTCAATTTCTAACGTGCCTTGTTCACCTCCTTCCCAGTGGACTAGGAAAATCACTGCTTATCCGCTGGAGAATGGTAGGAGAGCCTTCATAAATCATGTAATTAGGAAATTGTGTACAGTTCTATTTTAGAATCCAAAATCTGTGAATCAAGGGGCATTTTGTGAAAGAAATACCTTGATCCCCACATAGCTTTCCATAGTGGTTGGACCAGTTTACACTCCCACCAGCAGTGCAAGGAGAGTTCCTTTTTCTCCACATCCTCGCCAACATTTGTTATTGCTAGTTTTTTAATATGTGCCATTCTCACTGGTGTAAGATGGTATCTCATGGTAGTTTTGATTTGCATTTCCCTGATTACAAGTGATGTTGAACATTTTTTCATATGCCTGTTGGCCATTTGCGTTTCCTCTTTGGAGAAGTGTCCTTTAAGTTCTTCTGCCCATTTTTTTGACTGAATTATTTACTTTATTTTTTTAACCTGCTAAAGATGGAACTTCCATATGATCCAGCAATTCCACTCCTAGGTATTTACCCAAAGGACACAGAAACAGTAATTCAGAAGGGCACCTGCACCCCTATGTTTATAGCAACACTAATTACAATTGCTAAGCTTTGGAAACAACCCAAATGCCCAAAAATAGATGACTGGATCAAGAAGATGTGTTACATATATATGATGAATATTACTCAGCAATCAAAAAAGATAAACACATGCAGTTTGCAGCAACATGGATGGAGCTGGAGGGGATCATGCTCAGCGAAGTAAGGCAGAAAGAAAAAGAAAAATACCAGATGGTCTGACTCATAGCAGGAATTTAGAAAACCTAAATAAGGGACTAGAAAAAGGATAATTATAATAAAGTAAAAATCAAAATCAACAAGCAACTATGGGCCAGAGACACACTACAGGGGGTGGGGAGGAGGGAGTGGGATCAAAACAAGGGGGTGTGGGAATTGTGGAATTGTGTGGGGACTATGACCAGGATGAAGATGCATACATTGTGCAAAAATGAAAAATGATGTAAAAAATATAGAACATTTAAACAATAAATCAGAGATTGCATGGAGTGAGATGTGCAGAAAAAATCCTTACTATTTCATAGTAGGACTTCTTCTCATCAGAATTTCATATTTATGACTTTATTTTTTGGCCTGAATTATCAGAATTTCCCCACACACTTAAGTGATCCAAAGCACCATACAGAATTTCTGCTGTGATGCCATGGACATTAATTCCAGTAGTGTCTTCCATCCCTGATGAGCTTTGAACTATCATTCAAAAAGGCTCTGGAAATGGGGGGGAGGGGGATAATTTTGTTAGACGTGAGCTTATCCTCTCACAAGGCAGGTTTTTATCAAACTCCATGTGCTTAAAAAAAAAAAACAACCTTGCCATTGCTTTATATTGCAGTGTTCTGTCTCTTGTGGTCGAGGGCATAAACAACGAAATGTTTACTGCATGGCAAAAGATGGAAACCATTTAGAAAGTGATTACTGTAAGCACCTTGCTAAGCCAAATGGGCACAGAAAGTGCCGAGGCGGAAGATGCCCCAAATGGAAAGCTGGCGCCTGGAGTCAGGTGAGCGATGATGCTTTTCTACCACTGCTTCCTTCCCTTGGGCCACGGGGCTGACCCCAGCATTGGCTTGTGTTTCTCTAAATGGTTTTGGTCTGTTTGAGGGAAGCTCTGCAACAGGGAGGAAAGAAACTTTTTGTCTTATGAGCTGTGTGACCTTGACCAGTGACTTCAGCCTTTGGCACTTTGAATAATACCCACAGCTGGGTGGTTGTGAGGATTAGCCTGAAGTGATAGTAGATGCAGATGTGAGACATCTGGCAGAGTAGCTAGAGGGCATTTTATTATCATTCACCACTAAGAGCCACTAATTCAGATTGTAGTAACATTGACTATAGAATTAGTAATGTTAGAATTAAGTCAATGTTAGAATTGAATCTGAAGTTACCTCTCAGATTCTTCAAGAAAGGGCTGTCAATAGTAAGTACAAGAGAATATTTTCCTGCCTGTTTGCTTGTACACAACAAAAGTGAGGGGGCACAGGGAGGAGATCTCTGCGCTTTCTAGCTCTGTAACCTTGGCTGATTTGTTTAACCTTCCTGAACTTACTCCACATAGTCCTTATGAGAATTTAAAGCCGTAATGAATGCCAAGTGCTTAGCTCAGGCATCTTAAATCTAATAGGTTCTCAAGAGTAATATTTTGTTTGGATGAGTGTGATGTGTGCATCAGATGGGGAAGGGCGTAAGTACGCAAGAAACTGATTATAGTTAAGACTCCGCTAATTCTAAACATTCACTAATGTAATCAGGAATTGAGTGTGAGAGTTTCCGTGTTGAATTCAAGAGGAAATTTTAGATGCTTCCATTTCCTTATAAACAACTCGTGCGTAAACCAAAATCACACACTCCTCCCCCTTAAAGTAGATCTCATCCCTCCACACTGTACCTTTTCTCAGCTTTGTTCAAGGTGCTTCCTTCAATGCAATGTCTCAGTGGCTTTTCAAACACTTTATATTTAATCCTGCTCCTTCTCTCCATTGAGGTTTTACTGAGTTTGTGCTTCTATGTGATGGGGAATCAGGCAGGTACTCAGGAAAATCAGGCTCGAGATCAGCTGTCTCTAGAGTTGCTTCTTCTAGAGTCTGACTTTTGGTTGCTAAAGCTTTGGGCAGCTGTGTGAATGGGCAGGATTTGAGATCCTTCATCTTAGCATAACTAAGGGGAAATTCCTCAAGAAACATGCATCCTTCTTCAATTCCTTCAGCTGGCATCACTGCCCTCTCCCTTTCTTTCCAGACAAATGACAATTTACAGATATGTAAAACACAGCCTGCACCATGCCTCGACAGAGCAGCCTCACCCTCCCAAGCCTTCATTCTAAGGAGCAGATTTTGCTTTCCTTTTAACAATCAAAGCATCTGTGCCCAGCCAGAGTTAGCTCCTCCTCTGGCTTCCTTTAGGGATCAGATTCCCAGGCAGTGTTTCCTACTGGTCATTTTTTTTTTTTTAATAATAAATTTTATTGTTATATTCCCCATACAATTGCAGCCCCCCCATTCTGACCCCAATCCCTCCCCTCCCGCCCCCGCCCCCCAAAAAAGTGTCTCTGGTTCATAGTTTTTTGTTGATTTTGATTTTCACTTTCTTATAGTTATTCATTTTCCTGGTCCCTTATTTAAGTTTTCTAGATTCCTGCTATGAGTGAGGCCATCCGGTATTTTTCTTTTTCTTTTTGGCTTATTTCGCTGAGCATGATCCCTTCCAGCGCCATCCATGTTGCTGCAAATTGCATGTGTTTATCTTTTTTGAATGCTGAGTAATATTCCATGGTGTATATGTACCACATCTTCTTGATCCAGTCATCTATTTTTGGGCATTTGGGTTGTTTCCAAAGCTTAGCTATTGTAAACAGTGCTGCTATAAACATAGGGGTGCAGGTGTTCTTTGGAATTGATGTTTCTGTGTCCTTTGGGTAAATACCTAGGAGTGGAATTGCTGGATCATATGGAAGCTCTATGTTTAGGAGGTCCAGAAATCTCCACACAGCTCTCCACAGTGGTTGGACCAGTTTGCACTCCCACCAATAGTGCAGAAGAGTTCCTTTTTCTCCACACCCTCGCCAGCATTTGTTGTTGCTAGTTTCCTACTGGTCATTTTTAAATGTGCATCTCACTGACGACTGTCATCTGTAACTTTCAGCCTTCTCTTTTTGGAGCTATTCTATTCATGTAAGAGCCTGCAGCTAGTGTTATTTAAGCTACCACACTAATTGGCTTGTCCTTTTGTAGACTTTCACGCTCTGTTACATTTTTTTTTTTTTAATGTTCCTTGGTCTCTACTTATCTGTTTGCATCTTTCCCTGAATATTAAGTTTAGAGCATGTAAAGGCCAATTTGTTCAATAAAAAGGCGATTATAAGAATTTCTCACTCTTTATTGGTAAACTGTGTTTTACCAATGTTCTGTTTTACCAGTGTCCTGTGATCTTGATGGGAAGTCTAAAATTGCACACAAAAAGAGGATGACTACATTTAAACCCTATTTTTTTTTAAACTCACGGTAATAGGATTATCAGAATGCCTCCCCAGAAAAGACTGTACCTGTTCAGAAGTCAAGTCACCTTTGTAGATAATGCAAATAAACACAGCTATGTAATGGTCCGTGACTAGCTTTATAATGACCTGATTTGATTTGTTGAAATGAATTATAAAAGCCAGCAAGACAAGAAGCTGCATGGGTGAAATCCAATTTGTGCAGCCTTGAAATATACCTCAAAATAATCAGATGCAGTGGTTGATGGGAAAAGACGGTCTGCATGATTAAAGATTATTGGCTTACTAATGATCCAGGAGTAAACAGGAATATCCCTAAGGCAGCAGTATTCAAGCAAGAGTAATGATTATCCATTTGCAACCATATTTAGATGATTTTCTATCTGGTCCTTCTGTTTTCTGCTCATAGCTTTGTTCCAGTCATCCCATCTTCAAGGTAGGGAGAATAATTAGTGCTATTTCTCATCATGTCAAAATGTCTAATGATAGTCAGAAATATAGACTATTGGCGTAGGAGACTAGTATACCCATACTAATCATTATTGTCTCTCCCTCAAAATTAGCATTTCGAGGCTTAAAATGGAATGTTTCATTTTTACATCTTTTGAATTTCTTTTTATTTTCATTGGAAATGTTTTTAATAAATGTAAAGCTTTTATTGGAAAACAGCCTCACTAAAAGTTTAAAGCACTGTGTCTCAAAAATTCACGTTCAATTTGCTTAGAGGATTTTGATTAAGATCAAGAACATGAATTTTTAATATCAAATGAATATCAAATTCTTGATGCAGCTTGATAAATGTAAAGGCTGTAAAGCATTCTGTACGAAAAATATTTTTTGATTTAAACCTGTTCTTATAAAGGCTTAAAAAAAATGAAGATCAAAAATAAATAGAATAAAAGAGTTTAGAATGAAAGTACCACTTCATTCATCAATCAGGAATTCATTCAGTCTATTCATCCCTCAACCCTAAGTTCCATGTCTTCTTTACATTTGAGGGTCCCTGTTTTCAAAATGGACCTAGCAATCAGCAAAATGGCATAATTTCAGTAGTAGTCCTTGCTTTCTTTCGTAGTGATAGAAAATATAATAATGTGTCTTGCAATGAGTGGTGTCTTTGACTCAATGAAATAATTTTGAAAAGTCCTTTAGTGCTAATGTCACAATGAAATTAGCAAAGTTCATTAAGAACCTACTATTCATTTTGGGTTTGGACTTTTCTTGTAACTATGATGACAGCAGCCTGGTTGTGGTTTCTGATGCTGAAGTATTCAAGTGTGTTTAATACAGAAATATGGCAAGTGTGTCACTTATGTCCTTTGAGTAGTTAAGAAAACCATATGCACATGGTCAGTGATGAGAAATACAATTGCTTTAGTGATTTATGCTTTTTATTTTGTTTCTCTTTGAACCATCAGCTTTGATATTGAACTATTTAAATAGAGGCTTCTCACACTCTCACCAGCATAAGACAAAAAGACTACATCACATTAGACCATTAGCATCACGTTCAAGCTAGAAGTCAAATTCTAACCCACAGTAGTTATGGTATGTTGGCTGGGACAGAATTTACTTAACCGTTTTTCATTTTTGTTTGTGCCTGAGTTGTGTGGGTGTCTCTATTCTTTGCTTTACTTATTTGTGGAACATCTGCCTGAAAGATTGTTAGGAATTGTAAAATTGCATTACATAAAATTGCATTTTATGTAAAATGCTCTTAGCGAACCTCTCAACTAAGGGTGATTTTGTACTTCTTAGGACTTTTGGCCATGTCTGGTGGAGGAGACAGCAGACTGACATCTAATGGGTAGAGATCAGGAAAGCTGCTAGACTTCCTAGCACTAGACTGCTAGACTGCTAGACTTCCTAGACTTCTGGGGCTGCCCAGGACAGCCCCAGACAGAAAAAGAATTGCTAGGTTAAGGAACTTTATACTAGTAAACCCAGAGTAAGTGCTTAGTAAATGTTTGCAGTTATTATTTTTACTGCCATTATTTCTAAAAGTTGGTACATACAGTTATTTTTCAACCCAGTTCCTTCTTTAAATCATGTTACCACCATAATTTCGCAGTCATGCTGGAAGAGAGTATGTAAAATTCTTTTTTTTTTTTTTTAAATTTTTTAGGATTTATTGATTTATTTATACAAGCACTGGGTACAGTCAGAAGCACGGGAGGGTGATAGAATTCACCAGAGCCAGAACGGAGAGCAGAACAGGCAGACTGACGAGGTACACTGCTGAGGGGAGCAGCGGGCGGCAGGAGAGAGGTCTGCGCGCCATGTGGGACACTTGCCCAGTGGCCGGGGATCGAACCGGCGCTGCAGAGGCTGCGGGCAGCTTCGCAGCCCAGCGCTCAACCGCTGTGCCACCAGGGAGGCCCGAGAGTATGTAAAATTCTTTACATATTTTCAAGTGCATATTACTACTCCCCAAACAGCAGAAGTTGCACAGAGATTCTTGGTATCTGTGGAAGTAAGCATTGAGCTCCCCCTTTAAGTTGGTTGAGTTCTGCACTGCCCAGTAGGGAGCGAAGAGAGATGAGACTCACCTCCTGGCTCAGTAGTTCAGAACTCAAAACATCTACTATCAAACCTGCACAAATAGATGGCCGGGATAGACATGGCAGGAACACATAGAGACCACTCAGCCTTTTTCCCTTACAAACTAACTGAAAGATGGACTTAATAGAACAAGAAGAATCAAGCACACACACGTGCACCTACTACCACCATCGCCACCTCCAGGGTCATGCGAAGGTCTCTCTGATCCTGTTTTATTCATGAGATTTCTGCACAAATCTCATGGAATTCACCAAGCAAGACTGGCTGACTGTGTATGCAAATTTTTGCTTCCCCTGAGACATCACAGGAAGAAAAGTTGAACACAGTGAGCGAACTCTGATGCAGTGCACTTCATTTTAAACAAGATTACCATGGATGCAATTTTTAGAAAGAAAGAACTGGTACCTTGCTGTGCATTTAAGTCACATCAAAACTTTTAAAGGCATTATTTGAAAGCTGGCTTTTAAATTATAACTATCAGAAGCCACAAAGCAGTATTGTATAAATGAACCTTCCTATGTCTTTGTCTTTTGCAAAAGTACTGAACATTGTCAGAACTGATTTCTTTTAAGATGGTTCTTAAAATCTAACCTTCTTTGAGCCATAAGTAATTTATTCAATAACAGTAGCCTCAAAAGGAGATTTCATTTATTTTGTAGCCTTGGTAGTATACACTTAAATGTCTTTAAGATTTTTCATTTTTCTTTAGGCTGTGAAAGCTTTATCAGAATTTAATATATGTCAGCCCTATGCAGAACTAAAGTTTATTTACTTAATCATTGTGATTCTTCCTTTGTATTTCCGTTTGCATTCAGTGTTCTGGAAATGTACTCTTGTGTTTAAGACCCTAAACTTCAGTAGCCAAAGGGTTTTTGGTTTTTGTTTAAGTTAATAATGACAATGTTTGTGCATTTCTGTCATTCCTGTGGTAACTGTCCTATTTACAGTTAATTCATTTCCTGTATAATCAATGGGAAATACATCTGTAGCTCCCAAGAGCATTGACTGACTATTCTTTGTAGACAAGGTCATCACCGGTGTTCAGGAACCCTTGCATTCCACCCTAGACAGAATGACGTTAAAAGTCTGTTTTCTTGTGGGTCACAAACTCATTCAATTCAATTAATACAATTAAACCTCAGCAATAATAGCTAGGTTGCTCTAAAGTAACTCCTTTTCTTCCACTAACTTTGATGTGGATATTTGTGCTTCTCATCTGAAATGATATGATTCCTCAAGATGCCTTCTGAAAAATACAACCTGTTTTCTTAACATCGGAAATAGAAATAAAATTGATATTCAGCAGAATCCACTGGGTGTGCTTCTTGATAGTAAATTTCCATTAGCCCCAGAGTGAGGTGGATCATGCTGCAGGTTAATTGGACAAGAATTCCTTTCTAATTAAAAAAAAAGTGATTCTATAAGACACTTCTTAGGAATATAACTTTAACGTATGTTAAATTTTTTTCTCAATGCCAGACAAATTAATGAAGGCCGAGCTATCACAAAAACTTGATCATAATTTTTAATAGCTAAGTGTAATAATATCCTGTTCTTTCCAATCAAATGTTGCCTTTAGTTTCTGACTGTCAAAACCTTAATAAAGACAATAATTCTTTGTTTGCTCATAAGTAAGATTAGGAAACCCAGCAATGAGGAAAGCATTAAAAAATTAATTTAGAGGAAAGTTAATTGCAGATTTAATATGGTGTTTTGCAACTTGGTCAACAAAATGTTTCAGCCTGATGAACAGTATTTTTCAAGGGCTGAAAACATGACACCCAAGGAAATGTTATTTCCTTGTCAGCTTTTATTCTTCATATAGTCATCTGAGGTTGTAAATAGACACAAATCCTTTTGTGAATTCCATAGTTAAAAAGCATTTTCTCTAGCTCCAGGAATAGGAACAAGAAAAGGAGACTGGAGGAAATAATTCTACTTTTAAGGTCCTAAAATCTCCAGTGATTCACTCTCCTTGGATTATACTTTTAATCTGCTAAGAAATTCTTCTTGTACAGTGCTGTTTCCCCAATTTTCAATAACATCAAGCCCTCCAGGATAGAAATCATTTGGGATTTTTATTTCCCATAGCAGCACTATTTCTGGGTTGTACTAAATGTTTCATAATCATGTCTACTAAGCTCTTCAATCTTTCAAGAGTTTCATTAACTTTCAAGATTCTCCCAAACTTGAGTAACTTCCTTGTTCAGCGTCGATAGGTAGTGAGTTTCCAGATTTCCGACCTTGTCTTGGGTCTCTTTCATTGCAAATTAGAAAGCTGTGTGATAGCTCTGAAAGTCTTTGGATTAAGAGTGCACCCCACCCCCAATCTCTGCGACCCTCTCCACCTTTGCCACTCCCTCACCCCCAAATCACCCAAAACTCCCACTTACATGCTCTGTCTTCTTAGTGCTCTGTGTCCTGTGGCCAAGGCGTGAGGCGGAGGAATGTGGACTGCCAGATGGGAACACACAAAATAGCCCAAGAGACCGAATGCAACCCGTACACCAGGCCGGAGTCAGAGCGCGCCTGCCAAGCGCCACCGTGTCCTCTCTACAACTGGAGGGCAGGCCAGTGGCAAGAAGTAAGTAGAACCCTCAATTGGTGCCTGCCTGGCCTTTTGCTCAAGCCCTTGCTGACATCACATCCATTCTCCTGGGAAGCCTTCAAACTTGGTGACCAGGCTGGCTCTTTCCCAAAAGGTTGGTTGTCGGATGGCAAGCAGTTCATTCCCAAGGGTGGGCGAGCTCCTCCTCTTAAAGCAATTTCTACATCTGTGTTCTGAAATTTTCCAAGTCTGGCCGTCTCCGGTAAAACTTTAACAGGCCTTGGGCCAAATGTATACAGATAAGTTTCACAGAGGGAGGGGGAAATGAAGAAATATGTTAAATATGTGTGGCCAGACTTGGTCATCTGCGTTAGTTCAGATGGCTACAAGCTGATTGCATGTAGGCCCTCCTCTGTGTTTTCCCGCCTCCTTCTTTAGCTATCAGGTAGAAGACAGTCGCATAAACCCCTGGTTCACTAGTGAGGGATTTCCAACATTTCCAGCAATGATGCAAGCTGAAGAACTGCTCAGTTGACGCACACAAGGGCTTGTTTTACTTCACTCCAAGTTAAAGTTTAGTTAAAGAAAATACTGTATCCCTGTGCAGAAATGTCCCTAGGAAGATAAGACATGAGTAGGAGATATGACTGTTTCTAGAAAGATTACATTGCAGAAAAGGGGGTAAAGCGAATCAGAAAGCAGGACCATAGCCACTGATGTTGGAATAAATGTGAATAGAAAGTGTGTGCTGTAAATGGTTCAGAGATACGAATAATAAGATAATAATACCCCACTGGAAATTGCTTTCAGAACAGTGGGAAATTACACCTGCCACTGAGCTAATTGCTTTCCGGGCACCATCTCATTTCATCTTTGTGGCCTCTGAACACAGTGGGTATTCGTATTATTATCATCCTATTTTACAGAACAGGAAACTGAGCCAGTGACAGTTGCCTGAATACCACATACTTAACAAGTGAAAGAGGGAACACTTGATCCTAAGTCTACTGTAAGATAGTACAACTGCAGTCTTTTCTGTTACAAATGCTAATGGTAACCCCACTTTCCCCCAGTTTTATTGAGATGTAACCGACATAATACTAGTCTTAGATATAAACATGAAGATTTGATGTCTATATTGTGACATGATTACCACAATGTTTAGTTAATCGCTCCTCACCCAATCACAAATTTTGTTCCTTGTAATGAGAACTTTTAAGAGTTATTCTTTTAACAACTTCCAAATATACAAGACAGTGTTGTTAAGTATAGTCGCCCCACTGTATATAACATCCCCATGATGTCATACATATTTGACCCTGATGTTTGTACCTTTTGACCACCTTCATCCATTTTATTCATGCGCCCCTTCCCTGCCACCATTGCCCACTGCCTCTGGCAGTGGCCAGCTTGTCCTGTTTCTATGGGTTTTACATTTTTAGATTCCACATGACATAAGAAAGAACATATAGTATTTGTCTTTCTCTGTCTGACTTATTTCACTTAGCATAATGCCTTCAAGGTCCATTTGTATTTTTGCAAGTGGCAGAACTTTCTTCTTGTTTATGGTTGAAAATGTCCCATCGTACATATATATACCATGTTGTCATTTTTCCACTCATCCATGGATGAACGCCAGGGTTGCTTCTGTGTCTTGGAGACTGTGAACTGGAGGTACAGGTATCTTTTTAAGCTATTGCATACCCAGAAGTAGAATTTCTGGATCACGTGATAGTTCTATTTTTAATATTTTGAGGAAACTCCATACTGTTTTCCACAGTTATTAGACCAATTTACCTTCACACCAGCAGGGCACCAGGATTCCACTTTCTTCACCTCATCACCAATACTGTTACCTCTTGTCTTTGATGGCAGCCATCTTGACAGGTGTGAGGTGATACCTCATTGTGGTTTTGATTGGCATTTCTCTGAGGGTTAGTGATATTGAGCAATGTTCCCTCTACTTGTTGGCCGTTATCTACCTTCTTTGTAAAAATGTCTATTCAGTTCCTCTGCCTATTTTTTAATCAGATTGCTTATTTTTTTCCCTATTGTGTTGAATGAGTTCTTTTTATATTTTTGGATATTAAACCCTTATCCAAATTTATAATTTGCAAATGTTTTCTGCCATTTGGTAGGTTGTCTTTTTATTTTGCTAGTGATTTCATTTTGTGACTATGCGGATGTTTTTAAGTTTGATGTTGTCCCACCTCTTTATTTTTTCTCCTATTGCCTTTGATTTTAGTGCCAAATAAAAAAATAAAATAAAACAAAACAAAACAATGGCCAAGATCCTCAGGGAACTGAATCCCTGTGTTTTCTTTAGGAGTTTTGTGGTTTCGAGTGTTATGTTGAAGCCTTTAACCCACTTTGAGTTGATTTCTGTGTGAAATGTAAGGTAGTGGTCCAGTTTCATGCTTTTTACATGTGGCTATCCATTTTTCCCAAGCCATTGATTGAGGAGACTATTCTTTGTCCATTATAATTTCTTGGCTCCTTTGTCATAAATTGAAAGGCCTGTGGGTTTATTTCTGAGTTCTTTGATTCTATTCCACTGATCTATGTGTTTGTTTCTATGCTAGTTACTATACAGTATTGATTATGACAGCCTTATAATATATTTTGAAATCAGGAACTGTGATTCTTCGAACTTTGGTATCCTTTGTCAAGATCACTTTGGTTGTCTGGGGTCTTTTGTGACTCCAAAATTTAGGATTTTTTTTCTATTTCTATGAAAAAATGCCATTGGAATTTGATATCCATTGCATTGAATTTGTAGATCACTTTGGGTAGTATAGACATTTTAAAAATATTAATTCTCCTAATCATGAACATGGAATGGCTTTCTATTCATTTGTGCCTTCTTCAATTTTTATCATCTGTATGTTACAATTTTCTGTGTATAGATCTTTCATTTCCGTGTTAAATTTGTTCCTACTAATTTTATTCTTTTAGATGCAGTTGTAAATGTGTTTGTTTTCTTATAGCTGCATGCTTAACTCTTGTGTGAATTCAGCCTTCCATACTTCTCTCTCATTCTCCTGATGAATTAGCCCCATTTTTTGCAATTACTTCTTTTCCATAGGAAACTCACCCCCGCCCCCAGTCTACTCAGTTTTTTCACTTATTTCCCTTCTAATTGTTGTATTTCCACCAAAAATTGGCAGAGAGGAATGACTACAGAAGTTAAATTTCAAATGAATTGTTCTCCAGTCACACAAATTATTGGAAACCCCAAGGACTATAGGATTCTGCACACCTGATTTATATTTGAATACTGCCACGTAATATCAATGTTGACTTTGAACAAGGATCCTTAATTTCTCTGCCCCTTGGTTTTGCCATCTGTATAATGGGCATAACAATATCTATGTCATGTGGTTCTGAGAAAAAGAACGGTTTTGGAGTTGACAATTTCAGATATAGAAGAAAGAGGCTCCTTTTCTCTGTCTCCCTCAATGTTACCTCTTGATTCTCTTTGTAAGTCTTGTTCAAACCTACCACTGCTTGCTTCATCCCTCTCCCTCTTCATCTCATGCTGAACTCAACCCCTTGTAACTGTCCAAGGAACAAAAAGTAAGAGAGTGTTCAGAAATGAATCTAAATTGACTGCTCATGCTTTAGCTAACTTTTGAAAACGCTAGAGCCAATCCAAAAAATGAAAGCTCCATTTACAATTTCTCCTGGGGCCTCCCTGGTGGCGCAGGCGGTTGAGCACAGTGCTGTGAAGCTGTCCACAGCCTCTGCAGTGCTGGTTCAATCCCTGCCTGCCGTGGAGCAACCCACATGGTGCAGCAGACCTCTCCTGTCTTGCCCCTCTGCTCCTCTCAGCAGCGTATTTCAGTCAGTCTGCCTGTTCTGTTCCCCACTCTGTCTCTGGTGAATCCTCTCACCCTCCCACACATCTGGCCTGTACCCCGGTTCTTGTATAAATAAATAAATTAAAAAAAAAAAAAAACAATTCCTCCTGAATCCCAGAGTAGAAAAACTTTGCTACATAAGCACTGAGAAAACCCTCTTCTCAGATCATGCAAAATATGCCTAGAAAGTTATGTCCTCACGTGTGCTCTGCAGATGGAGCCTTTAAAATTCTTCTATTAAATATGCTGTCAAGCTCTATATCTGTGGAAGAGCAGAAGGACAGAAGACCTAAGGAGATGGCTGACCTTAGCTATATTTAATAGTTTACAGAAATTAACTGTTCTCAAGAAGAGAAAAGATGCTTTAAACAATGAGACAGTTACTATCTAATAGTTACCAATAGTTACTATCTTGCCAACATGCTTTGTTATCTGCCTGAATCAGAAGTGGTTGGAAGAAGTTGGACCTGGTTGGGAAGGGAAGAGAGAGCATCTTGAGAGGCACCCACAAAAATTGGCAAAGTGGGGCTCAGGCTAGAAGAAGGAGGGAGAAGCCCCATCAAATGTCTTTGCTGCATATACAGCAAAGTATATGCCCTCTCATGAAGTCCTCAGCTTAATTCATCTAAGTTCATGCATTTTCCCAGGCTGAGAATAGATGTTGAGAGCGCTGGGCAACCACCACCTCCTGGGGCAGTTCAGGCCTAGGGCGACCACTCCTGTTTGCCTGGGATGGTGCTGGTTAATGCCTAGGACAGTCCTGGTATCATTATTAATTTCTCCAATTGTGATGATAAAAAGTGTCCTTGTTAAGGGACTATGGTGATAGTTCATGGGTGGGTGATGTGGTGACGGGAGATTTAGGGATGACACCTGAGGGAAGAAATCAAATATTGTACAAAAATGAGCAACAACGTAAAGGGAAAAAAGTGTTCCTGTTAAATGGGAAATTGGGGTCACATAACAGTATAGCATGCCCTTCTGCCAGCTCTCCTCAATCATAGTCCTCACCTTCCTAGCTCCCACCTTCTCTAGCACCCCCTCACTCTTCTACCTCTTACCTGATACTTCCAACAGATATGTGCCTTGACTTTCCTTCCCTTGTCTAGTGACATCTTGACCAAAATTTAGTGAGCAAGCCACAGCCCCCGAGCCCACTGAGTGCATGTGCTGGGG